CCGGGGGGGCCTGCGGGCCCTGGGGGACCTGTGGAGGAGCCCTTATGACCTGAGACTGGATTTGCAGGATCAGAGGCTGAGCCTGCTGGGCCCAGGAAGCCATGGGCTGCGCAGGGGGCGCAGCCGGCTGGGCCATCGCTGCTCCCGAGGCTGGAGGCTGAGTGATGGGCACTCTCGGTCCTGGAGGATGCATCATCAGGACTCCAGGACCCGGAGGCTTGGCCAGGGGCGCTCCTGCAGGCGGAGGCTGGGTCATCACGGCTGTGGGAGGCGGAGGCTGGGCCATCGGGGTTCCTGGAGCAGCAGGCTGGACCATCAGGACTCCCGGAGTCAGAGGCTGGGCCATCAGGACTCCCGGAGCTGGAGGCTGGGCCATCGGTGTCCCCGGAGGGGGAGGATGCGCCATCGGTGTCCCCGGAGGGGGAGGATGCACCATCGGGGTCCCCGGAGGGGGAGGATGGGCCATCGGGGTCCCCGGAGGGGGCGGATGGGCCATCGGGGTGCCCGGAGGGGGCGGATGGGCCATGGGGGTCCCGGGAGGAGGAGGATGGGCCATGGGGGCTCCGGGAGCCGAAGGATGCACCATCAGAACTCCCGGAGTCGGAGGCTGGGCCAGCGGGGCTCCCGGAGGGGGCGGATGGACCATCAGGACTCCCGGAGTCGGAGGCTTTCCCATCGGGCCCCCCAGCGGGGGAGCCTGGACCAGCGGGGCCCCCAGGGCCGGGGGCTGGGCCATCGGAGGCACCGGGGCGGGCAGCTGGCCCTGCGGGGCCTCCCAGGCAGGCTGAGGTGCCTGCCAAGCGGCCAATGAAGCCTGCAAGTCAATTGGAGGTGGGTCCCAAGGGACTGGCGGAGCCCGGGAGGAAGCGGGCGGGGCCCGCATCAGAACCGTAGGGCGGCTATAGACAGGCGGCTTCGGGGCCTCCGCCGGAGGACTCGAGTCACCCAGATTCTTACTTAGCTGCGACATGTCCCTTTGCTGACAGCTGGTGGGTCTTTTCCTCCGACAGCTGCTGGGCCTTTTCCTCCAGAGAGCAGAGAATGCCTACGTGGCTGTTGAGAGGCTCCCTCCCTGCCGACTGCTGAATAGGAAGTGAGTGCTTCTCTCTCTGCAGCTTTCCGCAGTCAGGAGGAGGGGGGAAGGGGGCTCGATCCCGCCCCTTCCCCGCCCCCGACCACCACAAGTGGATATTGCAGAGGGGCGTCTAGCGGCGTCCTGGCTGACTCAAGATCGCTGCCCACTCTTTCCAGCGCCCAGAGGCAGACGAACCAGACTCTACATGGATGAGTTTTCACGGGGGAGTGACAGGAACAGACCCATGTTTTATAAAAATCACTGTTGTGCAGTGTGGAGTGGGAGCAGACCACTGGAAACATGGAGGGGATCCAAGAGGGGGAGATGGTGTGGTCTGAGCTCAGGCCTGAGGCGGGGAATGAAAGAAGTATATTTACGTAAGAGAGTTTCAGGAGCTATAGTAGACCGCTACCTGTTTAATTTAGCATGGGAGTAAAAGAAATGGAGACGGCAAGCGAGGCTTTGCCCCAGGAGAGTGGGAAGTTGCGGGGGAAGTTTACTCTCTTGGAGACACAGTGGGAGGCACATGGGAAGACACTGGCGGGGCACTCGTGGTGCTGTGGGCTGCCCGGGGTAGAGGTGCTACAGGCGCACACGTATGACAACCTAAAGACAGAGAGCTTATTTAGCCGGGAGACCAGGCTGGCTCTTCCTTGTGAAAACAGAGACGTGGGAACGAATGTGGTTGCAGTATGTGCTAAAAAACACAGGTAATCTGTTAGTGGCAGCCAGAGAAAAGGGATGACAACCATAGGTGGAGAGAGAAGGAAATAAATCACGGATATTGAGATGTGCTGGAATTCAGTGGATGAAAGGGAAAACTGCCTGTGGAATGGCTCAGAGGAAGGGATGGTTTGGATTTCGTAGGCTTATTTTTCAGTTGCAGAGCAGGAAATAAATTTTGAAAAGGAAAAAAAAGTGAGAGAAAATAAAATGGGTGGATAAATAGATTAAACTTGATACATAGAAAAAACAGATGAAGAAAAACGAAGGAGATTCCTGGGAAAACTACTCATGAGAAGAAAACCCGTTTAAAAACAAGATGCATGATGTGTTCATAAATAAAGCAGAAGACACTAAAATTCTTGGACAAGCCTAAACAACTTTATGCTGAGACGTGATAATCTCAGTTTAGTTGAAAAGTTTTCTGGAAATATGCAAAGTATAAACTATCAAGGATGTTTTGTATAGAATTGGCTGTTTGCAGCCTGGGGCAGGAGCCCAAAGTGGCAAAAAGGGCCACCAGGGGGCAGACGGGGGTGATGAAGGGTATACACCACTCCTCTTGGGGTACCCTTAGCCAGGGTACCTCAAATTTGGTCATTTATTGATCCAAAGAAGGCATATACACTCTCCCAATGTTACTGTGCCTTAAATAATGAGAGAATAATTTGGGGTTAAATTTCTCTCCCCCCCAAGCAAAGTATATTTAGAAAATAAATTAGAGAGAGACAGAAGATTCACCTCCCCAAGGAGTGAGAGACGGCCAAATCTAAGAAAACATGGCAGCCATAGCTCAAAAAACCAGCTGAACACACCAGAGTTTAACAAAGCAATAACCCATGGGTGAAGTTTTTAAGTGATCTTTCTGGCAATTGGAGGGATGTTATTTTCCAGGAAATTCTTTTCAAGGATCATCAATCTTCTTGAGGCACCTGATTATACAGTGTCCCTCTCCTTTATCTACAGAGGAGACACTCCAAGACCCCCAGTGGATGACTAAAATCAGGGATAGTATCAAACCCTATAGATGATATGTACACATTTATTTTTCCTTCTTCACAGTTTCACAGATAGACTTAGTATTTACTATAGATCTTAGTAACCTCAACATACAATTTTTTTTCTCATTAAGTCAAGGACATTCATCCTTTTTCTTAAAGGAAGCCATTTATGGCTTCTGTTTGGCATATCTAAGTTGCCAGAATCACTATTTTTGCCCTTTGGTGCCATTGCTAAGCAAAAGAAGAGTTACTTAAACACAAGCACTGGGGTAGAGACAGTAGATCTGATAACTGACTTAGCTACCAAGTGATTAGTGAGCAGGTAGTGTATATAGTAACTATATTTATTCATAGTTTTACATTCTATGGTTTCAGTTACCCACAGTTGACCATGTTCCAAAAATATTAAATGGAAATTTTCAGAAATAATCAATTTATAAGCTTTAAATTGTGAGTCATTTTGAGTAGTGTTATAAATTTCGTTCTATTTCATCCTGCCTGGGACATGAATCATTTGTTTATCCAGTGTAGCCATCCTGTATATGCTGCCCACACATTAGTCACTTAGTAGCTATCGCAGTTATCACATAAAAAAGTCATAGTATATATAGGTTTCAGTATTATTTTCAGTTTCAGGTATCCACTGGGGGTCTTGGAATATCCCCCAAAGATAAGAGAAGACTGTTATATGTCACCTCTGTGTATATCCACAGAAGGCCATTCATTGCTGGCCACAGAGAATACTGATTCTGCAGAATGAATGCCACCATGTTTTATGGTTTTAAGTCTCTCCCAAAAGTTAATAGCCCAGATCCATATAGGATTTCCCAGTTTCATGGGTGTTTAGAAACACTGCAGAGGTGCCAACTCTAAATGCATAACCCTCATAGTTTCCTATGATCAACTCTGCACATGGGTGTTACTGGCTATGGATGGCTTTAGGAAAGTCAGTTTATTTTTCAGTCTATGACATTTCTACCCTCATTAAAGCATACTTTTTAAAAAACTCTAATTAAAATATATAAATTTCTCAGAGATTAAGTTCTCCCACTAACCATTTCTTTTTCAGAATGACAGGCTTGACCTTCAGTCCACCTTGCTGAGAGTCATTCTACACAATAAATGGCTACCAGTAGGAACTAGTTGTTCTTGCTGATGCTGAAGCTCAGTGAATAGCACTGGCGTAAAATGTCAACTCCCACCAAATCCATTCTATGAAAAGAGCTCCAGTTTGTGCCAATAGACAGCATTAAGCCAGAAGGAAAGGATTAGGAATTATGCAGAAGAAAAAAATAATATATAGGCGTAATCAGAAATGGAATATAACCAACTGTTGACAAAAAGATACAAAACTCTAAAAAATATTTTAAGATGGTTTCTCTGAACCAAACTTGAGGTTCTAGACCCATGACATGTGTCTCTGGGAGGTTTTGAAAACATGAACCCACTGTGGATGAATGGTTACTTGATAACATTTAATTTTAGGGAGGCAGAAATTATCAAAAAACATAAATCCATATAGAAAATTTTCTTTGTTTTGGCCCCAGAAGGTGGGACATTTCCAAGTGGGGGCATTAGGTTACAGATGGATTTGAGAATTTCTTGACTAGCAACTGTAGATCCTATCTAAGCAATTTTGGAAATCAGTAGAGGAGATTTTTTAAAAAAATAAAGTTGTGGGGAAACTCTAAGTTTGCTGAAATGTAGATGAAGTCCTAATGTGGCAGACTTCAGAGAGGATAGGTAAGTGTCTTACCAGGTTCCTGGAGTCTGGGAGTCCCCAACTGATGGCCCTTCAGGGCCATAAAATATACTGTGATTTCCTTTTTTATTTTTCATGTGATGTAATGACTGAGTCAAGTTGGAAAATAAACTTTAGGATATAGAGTAAAAGGGTAATAATATCTCATCTCATCTAGTGAGTCCTTATCAGACGTGACTCCCCAGTCCTAATTTGATAAGAAAAAAAAGGTCAGGTTTAATCCTCACAACAGATACACTAACACCTTTGCCACTCCTTGGAAACATCCTTTAGCTAGCAGAAAAAATTGGGTATGAGGTATTCATTGATTCTGGAGGAACAAGTAAAGTGTGTAAATCAAGTTTATCTTTCCTGTGGGGGGGAATAAATGGCCTATTTTAGACAATCAGTTCTCCCCACACCTCGGCTGCTTCAAGGGGTCGCCCTAGCTTCTTATGAATTACTTATGCCCAACATCAAATGTGCCTGAGGAAACAAGGGACATACAGGTCTTTTGTGAAAATTGACTGCCTCAATAACAGCAGATAACAATACTGCCCTGAGTCTAATGGAGTATTTAGACCACACATCTTAAATATGTCTCCCCAAATACCTCTTCTCATGAAATCTGTCAGCTTCCTGAAATCTCCGTTACCCTTCTGTGAATATGTTCTTCCTCTTCAACACCTCTTAGCCAAGTATTGCCGCAATTTCCTTTCCTAGTTTCTGCATGAAACAGCTTGAAAATTCAAGGTTTGTAGAGAACAAGAGGGAAATAAATACTAAACATTAATGGAATATTGGCTATTATCTGTCCTCTAATTAGAAAAGACTCAGTGGCTTACATCAATATATAACAGCAGAAAAAAATTGGAGAAAAAAAGAAAAACAGAGAACCAAAGGTATTTATAAGTATTTATACAAGTAGGAACGTTTTTTAGCCGAGTTTCCGGGTCCTGCTTTTCTCAGCCTTGAGTCCCCGGCTCACAGAGTGTACAGTAAGAAGATATTAAATGAAAGGGTAAGATTATTTCCCGGACTGTCTGCCTTTCACTCCTTTGTAGGTGTTAGATTTTGTGTAAATATTCAGATGGTTATGATTTTTAAAAAATCTAAAATCATTTATTTATGAAATACCTTTTATTAAGCATTCACTGCATGGCCAGCACTGTGTTATAGATGACTACAGAGGAGAAAAATCTGATGCAAGTCCTATCTGCATCTATTTTGAGTCACACAGGGACATTAATCTAATCTATTGTGAGTCACATAGGGATATTAATCTAATCTATTGTTAGTCACATAGGGACATTAAACTAATCTATTGTTAGTCACACAGGGATATTAATATGGTATTTTTAGTGCAATAAGGTGTTTTTCTGCATTGTTTAAAACTCATAATGGTCATAGATGATGCAACTGAATGCTCATTGCTTTTTAGAATGTGAGGTGGGGGACTGTGATGCTGATTAAAGCAATGAAAAGAAGAAAATCAAATTCAAAGCTGTGAAAGATTCATGAGC